ACAGCAGCGGATGAGTAAGCTGGTTGCTAGAGATGAAGGAGGGGAGGAGAAGACGCAGGGAGGAACAAATCTCAAAGAAAGGATGGAAGCAGTTGCAATAGGTATGGGAAGGAAGGGGAAGAAAGCAACCCCTAACAGGGTGCGGATGAGAAGCACCCCAGCGAAGGAAGGAACTCCGTAGGAGGGTTGTACCAATCGAGCTGTCTTCCTCGAGAAACAGAAGAAGCAGCGCTGAGGAAAGCGGCCCTTGAGCAACTTTGCAAAGAGGCAGGATTGAGTTCGGGAGGTAAGGTCGACCAACTTGTCTGTGAATTTGCGGAATATCGGACTGAGCAAGCTTTCGGGAAGGACCGAGGGAAGGGGCCTGCGGAGGTTATTGTGGTTGATTCATCTAAGGATGATTCTACCTACCATGCTGACGAAACCTCTGTGGAGCTCTAGGTTCTTTCCTGAACGCGGCGTCTTTATGGCGCTCCGCCATTTTTTGTAGAGATCGTAGGAAGCTCGTAGGTACTGCACATTCGAATCGGTTATATGGTGGGGCTGCGAAGGATGTTTTGTCTGTTGAAGCATGTGATCTCAGTCCCCCAGAGACGACGTGTTGGCTCAGAGAGAAGGCTTTCAATGCTTATTTTAGATTGATTGTTATTGGTCTGATTCTACGAGAGCAAATACCATGGGCAGTAAAGTTGAGGTCCTATCTTATTGAGTTATTGGATTCGGATGTTGATTTGGAAGAATGTTATGGGCCCTTGATCTATGTTTTGGTTTCGCAATGGACCTGGCGTATATATGTGGGTTTGACTGCACGTGCCCTTCCGATCAGGTGGGGTGAACATGTGTACAGGGCTCGTAATTTGCAGGTGGCTGACGAAGGAAAGAGGAATCAGAGGCTGTATGCCATGCTTAGGAGATGTGATGTTGGGCAGTATGTGGCAATTCCGCTGTTTAAATGTTCGATGGAGGATATGCTGGGCCTGGAGAGAAATTTGATTGGAATTCTAAATCCGCATTTGAATTGCAGAGATAGGCCACGTAGGGGTAAGAAGAGATGACTGGGTAAGCGGGAAAGAATCAAACGGAACAAAAGAGTTTGGACTGGTCAACCAGTGGGTACCCATCTGATATTTCATTCCACTGCTGGTATTGTGTCGAATTCACTCACCAAGGTTTTAGAGTTCTGTAATGATGAGAATATTGATAAGGTAGGGATTAAATGTGTGGGTGGGCCAAGATTGGCTGAAGACTGGAAGGTCCTTAGAAGGAAGTTTGGGTCGTCCGTCGTAAGTTTCGAAGGAAGGGTGGAGTTGTTAAAAAGAGCAAAGGGATGGCTCAAGGCGGGTATTTTCCTTGTTTTTGAATCCATAGTGTGTTTTTGTTCGAAGTCTCTCATTTTGAAGCCAACCCTGGTGAACCTGTTGTCGGACCCGACCTCACGAAGGATACTGAATTCTTGGGTCTTGGGGTTACTGATTACGGGGTTCTCTGCAGTACGTAGCTTTTCGCAGAAACGGACTCGTTATTCTCTGAGATTTATGTTGTCTTGTTTAATTCGGAAGAGATTTTGGATTAACGTCAGAAAGAGATTGACCGTGCGAGTAACCTATGATCATAGGTTGAGTAAGCCTCGAATTAGAGACTTCTGTGTTAAATTGGATATGGGAGCTGATGTTTTGTACGAATGGAAGTCGATGGTTGCCAGGCGAATGCGAGTGATATGGGTGAAAAACAAGAGTATTGGAGATTTGTTGTTCGACTTTAGGACAGCCGCGAGGATGAAAGAGTTGACATGTGCATGTATGGGATTAGGTGATGAATTCCCAAGGGATGGGGAGCATGTATGCTTTAGATTGAACGATTGGTCCGAAGCTCCGGGATGGCTTCAGAATAATAAGAATATTTCGCGACCGAGTGAAGGAAATGTGTTGGTACGTTTGTGTGATCAACTGAATCGGTCGTTTTCGGAGGCTGACTTTCCCATGCAGAAGGCAACCCTGAGTACAGTTGTTGGATGCTCGCAAAAAACAAGGGATGTTGGACCAAGTGAGTGCAGGGTGGATTCGGTGAGGTTATGGGAGAAGTAATTTGTAGGGTTGGTAAAAATCCCTATTGATCATAATATTGGAGACACTTTGGTATGTTGCCCGTCTGTTTACCAAGAAGGATTGGATAAGCTTTTTTTGGAGAATCCTGGTTTTTGCAGATACGAAGAGGCTGAAAGTAAGTTGCTGGCTGGTATTTACAGTTCGTATAAGCAAAAAGGATTGAAGAAGTTTGCTCGGTGGAACCCAAAGGGAAAATTTGGAGACGCCTACGTTATTCCTAAGCACAAAATGTGTGGAAATGACGTCCTATCTGTCCGTCCTTCACTGAGTGTGGTGTTAGTTCTTAGTTCTAGTCGCAAGGTATCAAGGATTGTTAATCAGATGGTGTGGGATCTACCTGTAGATTCTCATTTTAACCTCAAGAGTACGGATATGTTGCGGGATGATCAGAAGCGTATCAACGGTAAATTGAGGAAAGGTGAAGGCTGGATAACTGCGTCCTATGATATTAAAGAGATGTTCTGTAACCTTCCTCACCAATCCATTATGGAGGCTGTTGAATGGGTGACTGATTATTGGGAGGCAAAGGGAATGATTGGCGCCCTGGTTAATAAGCAGGGGAAAGGTGTTAAACTGCAGAAAGGCAAGACGGAGGAGGGATGGGAAACGGTGTGTTTTCAGACTGTGCGTAACTCTGTAGAGTTTGATCTGCAGAACTCCTACGTGAAAGTAGCAGGAAGGCTGCTTCGACAGACCATTGGAATCCCCATGGGTAACCCATCAAGCCCTGCCCTTGCCTGCCTGCCTGCTATGTGCTCATTCTGAATTCGTGTTCCTGAGCTCATTGGGTGTTTTGTCAGATTCAAAATTGGCGATTTGGTATCGTGGAGCCGAGCCGAGCGTATGACTGAGGTTTTTGAAGGATGTTACGACAAAAAATTGAAGTTAGAATGTACGGATCGATCGGGCTGCTGGGATTTTCTTGGATGTGTGATCAAGGATTTTGGGTTTCCTATGGGGTGAGGTGTGCAGCCGTTCACAAGAATCAAAGGAATATTCTCGAGGGTATTAGATTTCAGAGTATGCAGGATGCTTGTTCCTATGCTGATAAGCAACAGAAGATGGCTGTTGTGGGCTCTTTTTTGCATAGAGCGAAGAGATTTATAGATATGCCCGGTGCGGAATTGAGCTTTCTGTTTGCTTTGAAGATTGAGCTGCGCTTGCGAGGGTTCAAGGACAAATTTTTTGATGATGGGAATTTTTCGGCTAAGTTCGGAGGGTTATGGAGTACCTGGGTTCATTGTTTGACAGGATGGGAGAAGTACTTCCCGGTACCAGTGGTATAGCATCTTTTAAAGGCATGACATAATACTGGGACAAACTTAGTAGGGGCACAGGGCTGTATGTTGGGAAGTCTGCAGGCCCTGCTAACCCCTGAATGATGCTGGGCTTATGGTACACGGAGGGATACAGGGGGCACAGGTTTCATGAGCGATGACTCTCTGGGCCCGTTTACAAGAATTAAGGGCCCGGTTTCAGGGGCCGATGTTGGTGTGTCGTGTTGTAGGCCTAGTGGCGGGGGTCTGACACCCCTGTGTCGGTTGGACCTAGAAAGGGGTCCGGTCTTGGGTTTGACGAGTCGCGACTGAGTTACCTTATGGAGAGCTGACCTAACGTAGGCTAGACGTAGTACTTATAGAAGTCCGGCACGCTCGTTAGTTCATCAGTTCGTGACGAGTAGACCCCTGATGAGTCCGGCTCTGGCGGCCGGATGAAACATGTAGGGTCGTCCGCCAGTTGCTCGACATATGAATCATTGATATGGGCGTGCCGCCTAATGGGTATCTGTGTTGTATGATTATCTTAATGAACCCATCCTGTCGCGTTCGGGATTTGCTACAGCGTGTCTGCTTTTCTATGCTCTCTTTCTCTCTTCTCTCTCTCTCCCCCCTCTTTGCTTCTTCGTCCCTGTGCTGTTGACTTCTGAAGTTTGATGAGTTAACTATGCTCTGATGCTTGTTTTGGATGCATGAAGTTTACTTCGACCGACCCTTGCTAAGGCGAAGTTAATAGCTGTTTGTTCTGGGAAGTTCGGTGGTTGGATTGGTAGCTTGGACTACCAGGGTATTTTGTTGTTTTTGGTGGGCTTCGCCAAGTGTCGTTGGGGTAAAACCCACTACCTATCCTGGGTAATGGTCCCAGTGGTGCACAGTGTATATTCCGGGTTGTTTGTGAGGAATTCCCGGCCTCATGGTTTTCATGATAATGGACTCCTCGCTTTTTCCCAAAAAAAAAAAAAAAAAGAACTACGACAAAAACAGGCAAAAAAAAAAAAACAAAAAAAAAACACAAAATTTCCCCCCCAAACCCTGATCTCGGTTTCGGACGTGTTACTCAGGAGCTGAAACTGGGGGGTCCCCGTTAACCACGTGCGCAGAAGACACCGCCCTTCCCGGTCGTCAGCTCTTGGGACACGGAGTTTCAACTGCGCTGCCGAGACCCAACAGTCTTCCCCCGAATACAACGTACGGTCATTATAGCTGAATTTGGTGTATCTTTCAGTCTAAATTGAGCTATAATCACCGTAGGTTGTATTCGGGGGAAGACTGTAGGCCTGTAGAAACATAGCGCTGAGAGCGGGAAAGCGTTCGTGTGCCCTGCCGCATCTATGGTCGGCCAGTATCCGGCGAGAAAACCGCCACGTTCTCGCACGCCTGCAGGGTTGGACTGATGAGGGTATGCTGGCAGCAAGCAGGAGGCGGGAAAGTGCCTCCTCGCGCAACTTACCAAATTTTGCAGGGACTCAGAAACTGAGATAAACGGGAGTTGGAAAAACAGAAAAGAAAGAACTTTTTTTCGAGGTAGGAAGGAATTTAATTTAAGAAACAAAACGAAAAGAGAAAAAGAGAGCGGAATGACTACCAACAGCAACGAAAAGAGAAGACGGCACCGTCTAATGCCGACAGCGATTCATTGCTGCCCTGCTTAACAAAGAGCGAATTGGTGGATGATGCTTTTTCAGCTTGAATGTGGAAAATATTCACTCGCCATTTTTCTCTCTTTCACATTTGGCGATCCATGGAGCGAGGGGCTATGCCTTCAAAAAGTGATGCGATCGATGGAACGAGGGGCTATGCCTTCCAAAAGTTATGCGATCGATCGGAGCGAGGGCCTATGCCTTCAAATAGTGATGCGATCGATGGAGCAAGGAGGCTATGCCTTCAAAAAGTGATCAGACCTAATGCGATTGTGAATATATCGACTCACGAAGAATGCTGATTGAAGACGGATTATAAACACGAAGAAGAATGACGAGAACAATTTAAACGAAGACAAAAACAAGGATAGAATCATAGAACACTGAACTTACACCGGAGTGTGGAGGTGTGAACAACTTCAGAGAGAAAGGTAAGATCTTTCTCTCCTTACCACACACCAACCTTCACCGGCTAAAACCTTCTCTCCACACCTTCCACGCCCCCCCTCATACCTTCCCCCCCCCCCCCCCCCCCCCCCCCCCCCCCGCCCCCCCCCCCCCCCCAAAGTGGCATCAAATCGCCATGTGACAATAAACAGTGCGGGGTTGATGGCGTTGCCGCATCGTGAGCATCAGCTTAGGATCTGTTGCAGGGATTGCTTCCTCGGGTCTGACCTCAAAGTTTTCTGGGCAGTCTATGATGTGTGAATAATCCTCTTCTACCGGCCGCTGGAAAAGGCCCGAGCATTGGTCTACGACTCGGACTAACCCCTCAAAGTCGGAACTCGAACCCGGACCGCCTTCTGCCTCGCTCTTCCGTTGCCACTCTAGCAGGCGGGCCCAGTAACTCTCCAGCAATCCCTTCAAAGTAACGGAATGACTACTAGGGACGATCAGGCGAAGCCATTTGCCAACCACTACGGCACTGTTCGCCCTGATGTCGCTCACGCAACGGGCAAACAGTTCGTCTAATCCCAGCTGAGTGGGCAGCCTAAAACTGCCCAGGGGGTATCGAAGAATCAGGAGGAGTCGTACAGGGATAAGCAGCAAATCGTTTGCCTCGGGTGTGATCTCTTGGGCGTTCTCGCTCTGACAAAGACACAGACGGAGGAGGCGGGTGACATTTCGGACTAGGAGAAGAGTGTGAACCGAATCCTCTAATCCCTCCATCCCGTCCGTATCAGCCTCGCAACACTTGGCTTGAAATATCTCCTTGAATGTGCAAGGTGGCCTCCACGCAGAATTATAGAGCGGCGTTATTATACACAGGAGAAAAACGGCCCAACATCTCTTCCAGAAACCATCTTCAGACCTCCCTCTTTCGACACGCAATCGTCGGAGTAGAACATGGCAGAAATGTACCGCGTCGCCTGTTAGAGTACCGATGAGGTTCACAGTGTCGGGCTTGTCGGGCAAGTTTTCGAGTACATCCGCCGCCAGTCCCAATGCAGATGCGTTGCAACGCCGGAGATCAAACCGATCCCGTGCGAGATCTTGCATTTTGACAAGCGATTCCCAACAGCGGCTAGCAGGGCTGGCGATTGTGTCACAGATGCTTGGTTTTTGCAAGGGTGACGAGGTGGCGAGAAGGTCGCGCAGTGTGTCCAGTACCTCACAGGTGAACCAGTCAATCTCTCTCCTGCCGCGCTTTTGAACGCAGTACTTGAGACACTGAATGAGAAGCTCTGCAACTTGGCAATCGATGTCTCTGATGTTCTGACAGATGAGGATCTTGGCCAGGTGGAGTTTGGAGAAAGCGGAGAGACATGCTTCGTCTGCATTTCCGCAGCAGTGACGAATCAGCCCCTTCAGAGCAGCCTCTACCCTGGAGGGGTCTTGGAGCTTATCCATCGAGCACAACAGAGAGTCGGGGAAGTCCTGCAGCATCGTCTCAAACCTACGCCAGTAGACCATCCTCGGGCACAGCAGGTAGGCGAAGATCCTGATGGAGTCCGCCACGAGCCTCTGGAACGATTGCTTCAACTTTCCCACCTCCAAAAACTCCAGGAGCAGCCTCTCAGTTCGGGGGCAGTTCAACTCTGCCACTACACTCGCAATGAAGTCCCGGACCTCCTGTTCGTCAAAGCTCGGTATGGGCATCTCCAATGGCCAATCCCCGGGCCCGAGAGTGGAGAATGCGTTACAAAATCTGCCACTCGGTACAGCTGGCTCCTTGGCCACCCAGGCGATGTGCGCATGCATCTCGCTAGCAGCTTGTGCCAAGGAGCACACTGCGGAAAGGGCCGTCTCTTGGAGATGGACCTTCCCTTCGTCCTCCTCCCCTTCCTTTTCCCCGCCCAATTGCCGTCTTCCCTCCTCGCCAGCCACTGTGTTGGCCCTGGTGCCGTGGTGGCCGGCACACATTTCCACTAGACGGACCAGTGCTTCGACCACTTCGCCTGCCAAGGGAGTGAAAAGAGCGCTCTGCTGATCAGCATCTCTCTGGTCTCGGCAGGGCTGCCAAGGCATCACAGCAAGGCCAGAGGCGACCCGTGCGAGGATGGATGCGGCGAGTCGGACCTCGCTTGCACCCGTGGGGCTCGTTGTGCATTGGAGCACGCTCAGCAGGATGAAATAGCATCCTGATCTGGCGATGTCTCGAATGACGTCCACATTTATGGAGAACCGGCTGGCCTGGGGTATATCCTGAACGATGTCGGCCATCTCATCCCGGACATCGCTATTCGTTGATTCTGATAGCTCGAGAATAGCCTCCAATGCCGTTCTCACCCGCCCTCGGCTCTCTCTCTCCGGATTCTCCGAGCATGACTCCCTGCGCTTTACCGAAAGGGTCGGCAAATTGGCCCTAACTATCTCCAACAGCGAACCCACGTCGTGGAACCAACACGACGGCAAGCCGCACCGGTCCGGGTTATTTTTCGCGTCCTCGACGCTGAACCAGGGGTGGTCATGGTAATGGGTCTCGTAAACTACTCTCAGCTTCAAGTTTGTCTGAGTCTTCCTTATCCGCTCCCAAAATGGACCTTCGCGGCGACATTGCGAACCACGAGAAGAGGGAGAAGAAGAATTGGGTCGCGATAATACACCTGATTCTTTTGAAAATAAAGCACGCCTGTAAGGTAAAACGAGAAGTAAAATAACACACCGAGCTGGTATCCGACCGCAAAGGTAACCATCCCATCACAAACATTGAGATTGGCTTTTGTCCACTCTGTTTTCGTAGCGTTGGCATGAAACGAATGATACTCCCTTACGTTTGACTGAAAAACGTAGATTGACTCAAGTTCTAAGAAATACAGTGGAAATCGGAGAATCGCGAAGGTCATAATTATAGCGAATTGCACTCTCACTCCGCCTAAAACTGGCTGCCCGCAAAGTTCATGGAGATAAGGACCAGGTTGATCTCGAATCCGTTCGCACGACCTACCTGTGAGGTACTTCGACCGAAGCAAAGCGACCATCTTGTACGCGGATGCAACGAGGGACAAAGTGTAGGCTGACGAGAACACCCGTGGGTGCATTTCTGAACCAAAAGCGCCTAATTCCAAAGTAATAACTCCCAGCGCCACATAGGCAGCGATACTCTCCCACTTCTGTATCAAAAAGTAGAGAAAAAAGAGCTCCCGCGAGAATCGGTGCTCCCCGTACTCCATTTCGCCTATTAATGCTCAACAGACGCCGCCATGCCTATGAGTACGACAGTCTCTCGGCAACTGACTGATAAGAATGTCAATCACTCGACTAGCAAACCAATTATGTCCCTCTCTCTCTCTCTCTCTCTCTCTCTCTCTCTCTCTCTCTCTCTCTCTCTCTCTCTCTCTCTCTCTCTCTGTGTGTCTGTGTGTGTGTGTGTGTGTGTGTGACTCGCCCGCTTTCACGCCTCACTTCTCTCCTAATGTGAGCCTCTCGGTCATTGCCCGTCAGTAGATTTCTTGCTCTCTCCCTGTGGAACCTCTCCGACGTTCTCGCTCCGGTGCTTTCTTCTTTCCGTGCTTATGGTTGCGCTCAGGCTAAAGACGATAGACCGGACCCCAACCCCATCTCTCCGGCAGTTTCCCCTTCCCGACCTCTCTCTGCGCGCGTGTAGCACACGAGCGCGCACTTGATTGCTCGATCAATCGCTCCTTTGGCTGTGACTCTCCTCCACGAAGCTGCACCGGCTGGGTGTTTCTCTCAACAACGCAATCCACCACGCCACCCTTAGGTGTACAGCTTCTCACTGAGGGAATACACTCACACAAGCACTTTTTTAGATGTGTATGACCGCAGTCACTGCCAGCCCTGAATGAATCTGACCGCAATCTTGTATGCCCTTAGTCCGCTCACATGCTAGTTATGTTGTGTGAGTGCGTACTCTTACGCCGAAGGACCTGCTCGCGCCACATTTTCGCACACCAGAGCGGCTCGGG